GAGCTGGGGGGGCTCAGCCTGGAGAAAAGGAGGCTCAGGGGGGACCTTCTGGCTCTGCAAGTCCCTGACAGGAGGGGGGAGCCGGGGGGGGGGGTCGGGCTCTGCTCCCAGGGAACAAGGGACAGGAGGAGAGGGAACGGCCTCAGGCTGTGCCAGGGGAGGCTCAGGTTGGACATCAGGAGGAATTTCCTCATGGAAAGGGTGGTGAGGCCTTGGCAGGGGCTGCCCAGGGAGGTTTGGAGTGCCCAGCCCTGGAGGTGTCCCAGGAAGGCCTGGCCGTGGCACTCAGTGCTCTGGGCTGGGGGACAAGGTGGGGATGGGGCACAGGGGGATCCATGGGCTGGGAGGGCTTTTCCAACCTCAGGGATCCTGGGATTCTGTGAAATTGTCTGATTTGCCACATCAGCTCTTTGCAGCGGGTTCAGTGATTGTGCTGAGCCATCTTCCCGGGGCTGGCACAGTGAGGATGTAAATCTGGGCCATTAAAATGGCACCTCCCCCATGCACGGAGCCTCTCCCGACTTTCCCAGCTGTTTGTCCTGCTCTCCATGTGGGAATTCGCTGCTAATAAATTGTGTTGTGGAAACACAACCTCACAAACAAGGAAATCTAACCTGATCCAATTGTTCAAACTCGTTTAAACCTACATTTTCTCACTGGAATCCCTAACTCAGGTTAATGTAGGGGAGTGATGATGTTTAATCCCACCACCCTATTAAATCACGTGTGAAAAGCCATTTGTTATTTACAGTGCTGGTGTGTAGGTGTGCTCCTCATCTTGTAAATACACGAGAAAAGCAAAAAAATAAACAAGCCAATACATTTTCCCCTTGTTCCTGTGGATCCCACCAGTCTCCTGCTTCCCTGATCATGGCTTCAGGTGGCTCTTCCCAAACTCGGGTTGATTGAAGTGAAGACTGTTCAGCCAAGCTCTGCCTTTCCTTTCCTATGGAAACAACAATTCCTGCACCAGGTTTCCCTGGATATCCTTCTTTTTTTTTTCTTTTTTTTTTTTCCCATTCAAAAAACATGTCTGGGCAGAAAAGGCAGATTTCAGACATTCCTTCAGAATTTTCAGGTATCAGAGTCTGACTGGAACTGTGCCTTTGATCCATGGAACCACTCACTGCTCACCTGCAGCTCCCCCTTTTCCGCAGGCACAGAGAGGCTGATGCTGCCAAGGGTGGGTGATCAGGGCTTCTGATGGATCAGGAGTGGTTTGGATTTACTTTACATTTCTGATGGATCAGGAGTGGTTTGGATTTACTTTACATTTCTGATGGATCAGGAATGGGTTTGGATTGACATTTGCAGACCATCTCTACCACCTTTCAGAGCACATCCAGTGGTTCCACGGGCCTCAGCTGAGCTGCACTTGTGTCATCCAGGACATGCACAGGGCTTTTTGTCCAATAAATCCCCATAAAAAAAACCTCAGCCTCTGTAGGTGTTTGTGGAGATATCAGAAATACTCCATAAACAAGACATCCCAGAATCATCAAGGTCTGAAGAGACCTCCACGATCATCCAGTGCCACCATCCCCAGCACCACCACAGTCACCCCCAATCCACGTCCCCAAGGGCCACATCCAGACACCTCTGGGGCACTCCCAGACACAGGGACTCCACCACCTCCCTGGGACACTTATTCCAAGGCCTGACCACTCTGACAAGGATTTTTTTCCCTAATCTCTGATCTGTCCCTGCCCTGGGGCAGTTTGAGGCCATTCCCTCTCCTCCTTTCCCTTGGACATGGCAGCAGAGCCCGACCCCCCTCCCTGCCCCCTCCTGTCAGGGAGTTGGGGAGAGCAATGAGGTCCCCCCTGAGCCTCCTCTTCTCCAGATAAACCCCCCCAGCTCCCTCAGCTGCTCCTCACAGGACATGTTCTCCAGACCCTTCCACAGTTAAGGCTCAATCTTAACTCACACTTTGCCTTGTAGGGCTCGGGGAAAAGAGGATTTGTTGAGGGGAGAGAGGAATATTTGGGAGAAATAGTTTATTCCAAGGATGTTTAGCAGGTGAGGAGGCAAATCTCCCCCTCCCCAAGTGCCAGCCTGGCACTTAAGCCAGCTCTGACATGCTGAACTCCCACTTTGGGAAGTGTTGCATATCCTCCATCATTCATTCCACAGGATTAAAGAATTCTCTCCTGGCATGACATAAAGAGTGTTTGTCAAGCACCTTCTTTGTTTCCCTCTCGTGCTGCCAGACACAGAAATATCATCATGGGGGTGGAAAAAACACCCTGCTCTTAGTCTTGGTTTCTTTATTGCAGAGCAACGGTTTAAAATTGTCCCTGACGAAGAGGAGCCCATGTTTTTCCCAATATTAACTTCAGTGCAAAGAGCCCACTGGAGTCAAACTACAAAGGAGTATACAGAAATATTAGATTAAGAAATACAAAGGAATTTAGTCCTAGAAAAATTATACTAGGAAGTCTGTTTAGTGCAATGTGAATAATTTCAAATTGATCCTTGTGTGTCTCTTCCAACTGAGAATATTGTGTGATTCTGTGAAATCTTTCAGATCATACAGTTATTCCTGCATGTCCAACCTGCAGGAGATGTTATAAAACATAATCCTGCTACAGCCAGAAGCTTCAAGTTCAGTTTGTGCAGATGATTATTGCAGTTGCTAATTTCTGTAATTAACATTTGTGCAAAGTTGTTCTCCTTTACAAAGATCAGGAGCTCCCAGGTGTTGGATGTTACTGAAATCATCCACCTGGGAAATCAGATCACCTGGGGATTACAAAGGTTTTTAAGAATTTATTAGCAACAGTTTTTCTGAAACTCTTCTGAAATTTCTAGTTATTTGTGGGATTGTTGGCGTGTCCTGTGCAGGGCCAGGGGTTGGACTGGATGGTCCTTGTGGGTCCCTCCCAACTCAGGATATTCTGTGATTCCATGATAACTTTGATGAGGACACTCAGCTGAAGGTCATCTCTACCGTGAGGGGATTTCTGGGCCCAAAAATGGAGTTGCCCAGAGAAGCTGTGGCTGCCCCTGGATCCCTGGGAGTGTCCAAGGCCAGGTTGGATGGGGCTTGGAGCAACCTGGGCTGGTGGAAGGTGTCCCTGCCCATGGAATTGGGTGGCACTGGATGGGCTTTGAGGTCCCTTCCAACCCAAACTTTCCATGATTCTCCAACTCCAGCAGATGAAAGCAGTTTGCAGCATCATCTCTTACTGTTACCGACCTGTATCCAAAAACCTCTCCCTTCGCTTTCAAGAACATCAGTGGGATTCCCTTCCCACTTCCAGCCCTGCTGGGTCTGTTCTGTAATTTAACACACAATTTGACAGCCCAGCCAGCCTGGGAGGAGCAGGAGGATGTTGAGCCCGAGTTACTGAGCACGACAAGTCAGGACAGGCTCGGACCTGGCAGCAAAGCCCGGCTCTGCCAGGCGTGTCCGTGTGTGTCTGTGTGTCCACACATGTTGTAACCCAGCAAGTGGGATTGAAAGGGGACCCTCCCTCGACACTCTCAGGGATGGGGGGGATTGTTGGGGTGTCCTGGGCTTGGACTGGATGGTCCTTTTGGGTCCCCTCCAACTTAGGATGTTCTGTGATTCCCTGGCTGTCTTCATGACAATGATCCTCAACAGTGAATCCTAACAAAACAAAGATTTTCAGACTTGCTTCAGCAGCTACAGGTGTCTGGGAAACACTTCAAACCTCCTCTTTTAGTGGAGGATAATCTACCTGCCACATTTACCAGGACTTGCAATTATAGTCACAGAATTGCGGAATATTCTCGAGCTGGAAGGGACCCACAAGGATCATCGAGTCCAACTCTTTAAGTGAACAACGGCCCCAAAAATGAGGGGGAATCAGAACAGACCTTTGCTTTCAGAACTGAATATTGTGTCAGAAAAAAACGTGAGAATTTATCTCCAGGAGCTGGGATTAGGTTAAGTCACAGAACAACCCCTACAGAAAACACGTGTGGAAAACAATCTGCAGCGAACACGGGATGGTCACAGGGAAGGGGGAAGTCAAAGAGCCCCTTGCAGAGAAGTTATGAATGCTGATACACCAAAAAAAAAAATTACAATATTCTAGCAATCCCCATTTCCCTTAGTGAAATTAGATACAAAAAGTGAAACAGTGAACTGTGTCATTGCTCCATGGGATGTGGAACTGTCTGTGTTGGGTAATAAGATGTTACAAGTCTGCGAGGCAGAACAACCTGTGCTATTCTCAGCAGAAGAACTCGGGGCACAACAGCAGCAGCAGCAGCAGCTCCCTGCCTGGGTTTGGAGCAGTGGGAGCTGCCGAGTTCCCTCCCAGCTCCGAGCCGTGCGGGGGCTCCGAGACAATCAGTGATTCTCAGCATTCCCTCCTCGCAGCTGACGCTTCCCCAACGTGCCACGTTCCCAAGTTCTCACGGAGAGATGATGAGATAGAAGGTGCCCAACACCTCCCTCACGTTCCTAGGGCAGCAGTGCACATCATTACACTTTCCACAGCCGCTTCCCCTCCGGTGCTGGCAGCTGACAACGTTGGCACGTTGCCACTGGCACCACCAGCCACCCGTGCTCGGTGGCCAACATCCTCCTCCGGTGCAAAATTGGCCCGGTGAGAGCACATCCTGCCTGCTCTCACCTCTGGGCAGCAGTGCCAGCTGCCACAACTCCTGGCAGCCCGGGCAGTGCTCCCGGGGCACGTGGGACTGGCACAGGTGGAGGAGCGGTGTCCCCTCGGTGTCACCACGTTGTCACCGCTCACACCGGGCACGTTTCACACCCGGGGGTGGCTTTGCTGACCCTGCACCCACACACCCCCACCCCATCATCCCTCTGCTCCCAGTGCCACGTTGTCTCTTACCTGGGTTCCAGCCCAAGGATCCGTCGGCGGCTCCTCCGGCGAATTCCAGCGATCTCTGCACTGGCTGGGAGCATTTCCATGGCAATGCTGTTGTTTGTCTGGTGCTTTGTGTGTGCCAGGCGCCGTGGGAAGAGGGAACAAGACAAAGCCCACACGATTTACAGATCCATGACCTGTGGCTGCAGCCTATGGTGGGACCTCTGCAGTCATTCCAAAGGTGTGTGGGAGTTCACATGTGTACATGGGAAACGTGGAAAGCTGTGGGAGAGTGTCCAGAGGAGGGACACAGGGATGGGGAAGGGTCTGGAGGAGCAGCTGAGGGCACTTGGCTGGTGCAGCTGGAGCAGAGGAGCCCCAGGGCAGAGCTCAGCGGGGGCTGCAGCTCCTCCCGAGGGGCAGCTCCGACCTCTGGGAGCAGGGACAGGACCCAGGGAAGGGCTGGAGCTGGGACAGGGCAGGCTCAGGGGGGATCTCAGGACAAGGTTCTTCCCCCACAGGGTGGTGGGCACTGCCCAGGCTCCCCAGGGCAGTGGGCACGGCCCCAAGGCTGCCAGAGCTCCAGGAGGGTTTGGACAACGCTCTGAGGGACAGGGGGGAGTGTTGGGGTGTCCTGGGCAGGGCCAGGGCTTGGACTGGGTGATCCTTGGGGGTCCTCCCAGCTCATGGTATTCCATAATTCTATGTTCATGAAGGAGTTCTGGGTTTATTTAATTTTCAGCTGGATCAAATAAATGCTGCCCTTGGCAAGCGGAGGTGGAGGAACGAGCCCGTGGTGACGAAGGAGCAGCACAGCCAAGGTGCCACCACGTTTTTGGTGGCAGCATTAGCACAAAATATGGGACTGCAACAGCAGCATCACTGCAGTCCTGGGGTTTGGTGGCTCCAGCTGGGCTGTAGCCACGTGAAACCTGCTGCAAGGTGTGAGCAGGACACTGTGGGTGAGTTGGGGCTGCGGGACCAGGAGATGAAAACACAACACCACAACAAAGGAAGGAACAGGGGAAAAACCCAGCAGCAGAATTTCATTTCCTGCCCTGTGAAGAATCGAGGATGGGTTTTGACAGTCACACTGGAAATAACAGTAAAAATTACACTTAGAAATACATAGGAAGCAGCAAATATCCCTTAGCAGAGGGGGGGGTAAGGCAGAATTTGCCTCTTTTCACTTCCTCTTCCCATTAAATCTTAAACACTGAACAAGCCCACTATCAGTGTGAAAATGCCAAGGAAAATGGAATGCTTTAAGTTTGCTTTCTTTCCTGTCTTTCTAAAAAAAAAAAATAAATCAGGCTCTTACCTCTTTGTAGTTGGACCAAAATAAATAATTACCAAGAACGAAATTGTTCCATATCACATAAACAATGGCCCCGTGCCTCGCTTTTTTTTGGTAGATGATTTATATCTATCGTTTCCTTTGGCAAGGAGAGAAACAGGTTTAGCTCTATCTAGAGATAAAATTACAAACACAAATATCACACAGCAAACAGCAAAGTTTTGAACTGATCATGTTGGAGTTCTGACAGGTTCAATCCCAGAGGTTTTTTTTCCATGTCACCAACAACCACTGGTTATTATCCAGAGGAGGGTGTTAAACAGATTCTCTTTGGTTTCTCACTTTGGACAGGTAACACACGATGTCTGACCCTGAAAGAATTCAAACTGCACTTTTTCTTATTGTGTCAGGTCCAAATATCCCTCCTCTGACAGATGATCCTGGAGCAACACACCTGTCCAGAAAATCTTATGTTTTCTCCTACTAAGTGTTTGTCCCCAGCCCAGCTCAGCTGTTCTGCTCTCTGGGATGCACAGGGAAGAATTATCCACGTGTTTCTTCCTCTTCAGCTGCCCTTAAAGACCCCAAATCTGCTCCTGTGCAGGACCCAGGAACAGGAGAGGGAGGACTAATATATATATATTATGTAACTTGGCACCACATGCTTCGAGAGTGGTGTTTGGAAACAAGGAGAGAGTGAAAAGCACAAATGTTCAGTGGAATTTTCCTTCCTGTATGTGTTTTATCTGCGACGTGCAGAGGCCGAGTTAGGAGAGGTGAACTGGAAAAGAAGCGGGAAAATCCCACAGCCCAGAGGGTCAACGGCATCCTGGGCTGCTCCAGAAGAGGAGGGGGATCAGGAGGTCAAGGGAGGTGATTCTGTCCCTCTGATCTGCTCTTGTGAGACCCCCCTGCAGTGCCGGGTCCAGCTCTGGGGGCCTCAGCACCGGAAAGATGTGGAGCTGCTGGAGAGAGTCCAGAGAAGGCACCAAGATGAGCCCAGGGCTGGAGCCCCTCTGGAGCCAGGCTGGGAGAGCTGGGGGTGTTCACCCGGAGAAGAGAAGGCTCCAGGGAGAGCTGAGAGCCCCTTCCAGGGCCTAAAGGGGCTCCAGGAGAGCTGGAGGGGGACTGGGGACAAGGGATGGAGGGACAGGACACAGAGAATGGCTTCCACTGCCAGAGGGCAGGGAGAGATGGGATATTGGGAAGGAATTCCTGGCTGGGAGGGTGGGGAGGCCCTGGCACAGGTTGCCCAGAGAAGCTGTGGCTGCCCCTGGATCCCTGAAAGTGTCCAAGGCCAGGTTGGATGGGGTTGGAGCAACCTGGGCTGGTGGAAGGTGTCCCTGCCCATGGCAGGGGGTGGAATGAGATGAGCTTTGAGGTCCCTTCCAACCCAAACCATTCTGGGATTCTGTGAGTGTGGGATTCTGTGAAAATGCCATTAAACTTCAGCACTTTAGAAGTCAGGGATGGCAATGACCCATAATGCCTCTGCCAGAGAAAGATTTCTCCTTCCAGGACCACACTAAGTTCAGCAAATAGGGAATATTAGGAAGCACCACATTTTAACCTGCCTTCCACCTACTTGTCCATCCCCTGGGCTTCACCTCTGTCCCCTCTCCCAGGTGGCACCTCATACAATCCCAGGATGGCCTGGGTTGGAAGGGACCTCAAAGCCCATCCAGTGCCACCCCTGCCATGGGCAGGGACACCTTCCACCAGCCCAGGTTGCTCCAACCCCATCCAACCTGGCCTTGGACACTTTCAGGGATCCAGGGGCAGCCACAGCTTCTCTGGGCAACCTGGGCCAGTGAAGCTCCAGCTCCTTGTTCTGTCTTTGCTCTGGTCCCATCTTTGCCCACCCACGAGCAATCCCAGGGAGGAGGACGGGCTGTGGAGGGGGGAAAATGGCCCTGGAACAGCAGCTGAGCTCCAGGAGTGCTTTTCAACAAACAAGCAAATGTGGTAATAGGAGAAAATGAGAGGCTTTTCCTCGCTGAATATGGATGAGAGATTTCAAAAGTCCACTACCAGGATATAGTTGCACTATTTTCATAAGGATTTGTCCTTCAGAGGTGGATTATACAACTTTTCTTATTACAGGAATGTGAAGATTAAAGATCCCAAATGCTCTGTATATTTGAGTCGTCATAATTAATGTGCCAGGAATCTGGGGACATTTCCAAAATGCATTTTAATCCATAGTAGGCTGAAGTTTTGTGCTGTAAGCAATTTTCATTGTTAGATGGGAGTAAATATAAATTACTGAAGAATCAGAAAATCCTGTTCCAACTAGAAGCTCACACAGTATTTCAATCCTATGTACACAGTTATTTGGAAGGGAGGAAGGAAAAAAAATGTGTGATAAACCACCACTTAATGACACATTTTCAAAATGTGGATGTTGGTTTGCATGCAGAAAAGCTTTTCCTGCACCTCCAGAGCTGCACAAACAACTTTTTTATATGCAAACTACATCTGCAGGATGTCCACACCTGTATCCAGGATGGTGCAGGCGTGGAAATAGATGTAAAATTTAAGATTTACAATTGCTGAGGTCCCTGTTAAGGTTGGTTTTCAGCCACTAATTTAAATATTTAAAGAGAAGCAAACAGGAGCGAATCTTCCTCCCCTCCCCAGTCTACTTATTCCAGACTTTTCCAACTGTTAGATGTGAAAGGGTCTGAGGAATGAGTGTTATCAAGAGTGAATGCAGTGCCCAGGGTGTGAGTCATGGACAGAGTGGCCATTCCTGCCTGTGGACAGAAGGACTTGGAACACAAAGGGCTCTGGAGGAGGAGGGACAGCACTTTAGCAGCCCCCGGCTACTGGGAGGCTGGAGGTGGAGCTGGCTGGAGATAACTGGAGGAATTGTTTCCATCACATGGTTAATGACTCAGCATCATTATCCCAAAATATTTAGGTTTTTTCATCTCCACCAGCTCGTCCAGCACAGTCGTGTGGAAAAGACTGGGGGGACTGGGAGAGGGGAGGGAGCAGGAGCTTTGCTGAGTGAGCATCACAAGTATTTTCCACTGGGGCTTTGCCATCCCTGGGGTTGTAACTCTACGGCTGTGACACCACCACAGAGATTCCAACTGGCTTTGGTGCCCAGGACTGTGTGGAGTTTTGGGCACCATCATATAAAATAGACCTACAGCTCTTAGAGAGTGTGGCAAGGAGGGACACGGGGATGGGGAAGGGTCTGGAGGGGCCCTTGAGGAGCAGCTGAGGGCACTTGGCTGGTGCACCTGGAGCAGAGGAGCCCCAGGGCAAAGCTCAGCGGGGGCTGCAGCTCCTCCCGAGGGGCAGCTCCGACCTCTGGGAGCAGGGACAGGACCCAGGGAAGGGCTGGAGCTGGGACAGGGCAGGCTCAGGGGGGATCTCAGGACAAGGTTCTTCCCCCACAGGGTGGTGGGCACTGCCCAGGCTCCCCAGGGCAGTGGGCACGGCCCCAAGGCTGCCAGAGCTCCAGGAGGGTTTGGACAACGCTCTGAGGGACAGGGGGGAGTGTTGGGGTGTCTTGGGCAGGGCCAGGGCTTGGACTGGATGATCCTCAGGGGTCCTTCCAGCTCAAGCTACTCCATGATTCTATGATCCTGAGCCTGGATCAAGGCTCAGACAATAAATACACCCTTCTCCTCCCCTGCCCCAAGGAACTGTGACCCCCACGAGCTGCTCCTCCGGGCACAGCACGGCTGCAATCCCACCATCAAGGCCGTGAGGGTGCAAAGCAAACCCTGATCACCCTGTTCCTGCATTCCCCAAAATCTCAGCTCTGCCTCTCCCCAGCTCTGGCAACTGCTGAGGAGAAATGGCCGTGACAAGAGTGGGAGGAACCCGAGTACGTGGAGTCTACACCGATCTGTCGCTGCCGCAGCACTCGCCCCGTTCCGCTGCTTCCCAGAATAAGGCAGTGATAGTATGTGTAGTTTTATTTTAAGCAGGGCTAGAGCACATATAGATCTGGCTTGTGCACAGCCCCCTGCAAACGCTGCTACTCCATGGCATGGATTATGTCACCGTGGCCCTAAATACCTCCACTTCACAGCCCGGATTCCACACGGAACTGCTGCAAACCAGGCACTTGCCATGGTTTTTTTTCTGCCGTTGGATAAGTGTTAATGTGGATTTTTGGTGCTTGTCTGTATTTACTGCTGGCTCTCAGTCACCAGTGTTCATAAAGACACCCACAACAATGAACAGTGGAGTCTTGCTAATGCCTCCCACCAGCCACATGGCACGCGGAGCTTAAGGCTGGAAGGTCACATATTCCTTCCCCTTGTTCTCATTCCCAATTTGGAGAAGACCTGCCGTGCAAGGGCACTCAGCTGCCTGCACTGCTTGGACTGGAAGGCCTTTTTCCAGCAGGAGGACACTCGGTCTTCGAAAGGAAAGCCAACCAGAGAATCACAGAATATCCTGGGTTGGAAGGGATCCGCAAGGACCGTCCAAGTCCAACTGGTGGCCCTGCCCAGGACACCCCAACAACTGCACCGTGACCCTGAGAGTGAATCACACCAGCGAAAACAAGGAAAGCCCCATCCTGCACGGAAGTATTTCAAACAAGGGTTGGCACTGAAGTGTTCAGGACCATCCTGCCCCAGTCAGGGGGAGCAGAGACACCGGGGGCTCCAGCAAGAGCAGGGTCGCTGGAGGCTGGTTGGGATCAGTCAGTCCAGTGCCATGGAATGCTCCTTGTTCCTCCTTCCAGCACTGATTGCACGGGTTATCAGCATCTGCTTTTCTATCAGAATCCCAAAATCACTGGGGCTGGAAAAGCCCTCCCAGCCCATGGATTCCCCCTGTGCCCCATCCCCACCTTGTCCCCCAGCCCAGAGCACTGAGTGCCACGGCCAGGCCTTCCTGGGACACCTCCAGGGATGGGCACTCCAAACCTCCCTGGGCAGCCCCTGCCAAGGCCTCACCACCCTTTCCAGCAGGAAATTCCTCCTCCTGTCCCACCTGAGCCTCCCCTGGCACAGCTGGAGGCCGTTCCCTCTCCTCCTGTCCCTTGTTCCCTGGCAGCAGAGCCCGACCCCCCTGGCTCCCCCCTCCTGTCAGGGGGTTGCAGAGCCAGAAGGTCCCCCCTGAGCCTCCTTTTCTCCAGGCTGAGCCCCCCCAGCTCCCTCAGCCCCTCCTGCTGCTCCAGCCCCTTCCCAGCTCCGTTCCCTTCCCTGCACACGCTCCAGCCCCTCCGTGTCTCTCTTCCATGAGGTTCCAGACCTGGACACAGCCCTGGAGGTCCCTCAGCAGTGCCAGCACAGGGGGACAGTCCCTACCCTGCTGAGGACACACGTGTTCTAACACAAGAAACCCCCTTTGGCTGGTTCCCAGCTGCCAGAGCTGCCCCAGGGCACAGGAGCTGCCCCAGCAGCATCTCAGAGGGCACCGAGCAGGTCCCTGGCTGGGCAGTCCTTCTGCAGGTGAGGTCAGCACTTCCCACTGAGCATTCCCACCATCTGTGCTCCTGCTCTCTTGCTCAGGGGGGCAGCCAATGACACAGTCCAGCTCTTACTTTAGGCCCCAAACGTTATATATAATT